GCATTGTACATTGATTCAGACCTTGCTGACCCCAAGTGATACTGTGTACACTAAACCAGTCTCACTGACCAGGAAGTTGGGGTCGCACTTCAACACTCCCCCTCGAATCTAACTTCCAAAGTCAATTCCCATCTCACGTGAGAATGTCTCGTGCTTAATTCTCGGAAGGGCCTTGGTTAGACAATCTGCAACCATGTCGTTCGTGGGGATGTATTTCAAAACAACATCTCCCCTCTCAACGTGATCTCGGGTGAAGTGATACTTCACGTCGATGTGTTTCGTTCTCTCGTTTGAAATCTCATCCTTGCACAGCGCAATGGCTCCTTGGTTATCGGCATGTAGTACAGTAGGGTTCTTAATACTGCCTTTGAATTCCGCAGCCATGCGTCTTAGAACGATGGCCTCTCGTACAGCAAACGAAGTAGCGATATATTCCGCCTCGACAGTTGATTGTGCAACCACGTCTTGCTTCTTGCTGCGCGACGCAATAGCTCCACCCGTCGCTATGTAAACGTAACCACTTGTGCTCTTCCTTTCAAGCCTGTCTCCTGCAAAGTCGGAGTCAGTATATCCGAATGGAGAACTGCTGTGCTCCTCTGAAGCCCCACTTCTCTCGTAGGTAATTCCTGACTCGCGTGTTTGATTCAAGTAACGTAGTACGTGTCTCGCCGCATTCCAATGGACCACTCGCGGGTCATGCATAAAGTGGGAAAGCATTGATACGGCAAATGCGATATCTGGGCGGGTTATGTTTGCCAGGTGGAGTAACGCGCCAACCAGCTCCCTGTATGGGACGTCCGTCGCCTTTGCCATCTCTCCGACTTCTGTAGACCTCATAGCGGGGTCGTCGCACGAGATACTGGTGTTAAAAGGGGTTTAAGCACCCTTACAGTGGCTCATCCCAAACTTAGTGAGCATCGCGTTGACCATATGAACGCTGTTTATCTTCAGCGTCCCTAATTCTCGGTTGCGGTTGATAACGATGCCCAGAAACTTGGTCACATCTGTTTCAGTCCGGATCTTGAATTTGCTGCCGATCGCTGCGGCAATTTCCTTGAGCGTCTGTAGTTGTTTTCCCACCAGCAACATGTCATCGACGTAAACGAGTACGAAGATGTTTCGCTTCCATTTACGACCATACGATAGTATGTACATGCTGACGTCGGCATCAGAGCGCTGAAAGCCTAAAGACTTCAGCATGGCATCCATAGTCTTGTGCCACGCCCTAGATGCTTGTTTGAGGCCGTAAAGGGCCTTCAACAAACGGTACACATGGTGCGGATTCTTGACACTGCAAAACCCCTGAGGTTATTCAATGTATATCGTCTCGTCCAATTTTCCATTTAAGAACGCCGTCTTCACATCCAGCTGTAGCATCTCCATGTCTTCGTCTGTGGCGAATGCGAGCAGGTATCTCACTGAGGAGTATCTGGCTACCGGAGAGAATGTTTCCGTGTAGTCTACTCCATACTTCTGCTGTAAACCCCTCGCCACTAATCTGGCTTTCCTTCTTGTCAGATTGTTTTCTGAATCACGCTTGTTGTCGAAGGTCCACTTTGGCGTTAGTGGTTTCATGCCTTCAGGTAGCGGTACCAACTCCCAGGTTCCCATGTCGTTGAGTGAGTCCATCTCCTCGATCATGGCATCTTTCCATTCTTCCATATGTGGACTTCCTATGGCCTCATCATAGGAAAGGGGAACTGTGTCTTCCTCGTTCCCTAACCTAGTTACCAGGGCAATGCTTGAAGTTGATGAAAACCTTTGGACAGGTTTTAAAATACGACTTAAGCGCCGCACATTAGGGTAGTGCGTCAAGCTTTCAGTCGGTACTTCGCCGGGTGCAACTGGTGTGTCTGACTGTATTTCTGAGTCGATTTCTTCTCCGCTCTCGGAATCTGAGTGGTGTTCCGAATCGGAGTCATCCGCTAAGCCAGGGATTTCCTCGATTTCCTCGACACCGTCGTCAGGTTGGTTTTCAAATAGATTCCCATTATCTCCCTCGAAAAAGGATACGTCACGCGACACCACTACCTTGCCTTCTTCAGGAAAATATACCTTGTAGCTGTTTCCATTCGCATACCCGACCAGAACGCCTTTCTTAGACCTAGGGCCGAATTTTCCTCGACGCCTTGCCTTAGGGATGTGCACGTAGGCAGTACATCCAAACACCCTTAGGTGGGTCAGGTCTGGCTTTCGGCCAGTGATGACCTCGAATGGTGTCTTACTGGAATCACAGCACACACTGTTGTACATTCTGTTCCGGAGGTAATTAGCCGTGTTAACGGCTTCAGCCCACAGCTTTTGGTAGTTTTTGACCTCATTCATACCAAGCAACATGCTCCTCGCGATGTCCATTAGGGTCCTGTTCAATCGTTCTGCTTTCCCGTTCGACTCTGGTGAATAAGTTGAAGACAGTTCATGAACTGTTCCGCGTTCCGATAGCCATTTGCGAAACGTTTCAGAAAGGAACTCTTTGCCATTGTCTGTCCTTACACGCTTAAGTACGGATTCCAACCAATCTCCGTTAGACCCAGGTTCGAACCTGCGCATCGTAACTTTCTTGACCTTGCTCTTTCCAAATACCGTCTCGAGCTCCATGATCATATCTTTCAGGCATTCACCAGCCTGGCTCTTCTTCTTGAAGAATCGAAGGAGCGATATTGAACTTTTGTCATCGTACAGTGTAATAAAGTATGACGCACCTCCAAGTGATACTGTCTCTACCAGTCCAACGACATCGGAATGGGCCAACTCGAGTGGTTTCCCTTCCTCTTTGTCACCTGTGCCTTCTGCGGAACGGACGCTCCTGGTCGACTTAGCCTTTTTGCAAGGAACACAGCCCTCAATGCTGCGGGGTCGTTCCAGCTTGATACCCTTCACCAAGGGATAGTTTTCCGGATAGTTTCCTTGCTGGCATGCCCAAGTCGGGCGTGCCATAGGTCCTGGATCTTCTTGCTTCCGGAGCACTCCTCGATACTGGCGGCCACTTTCCCCGTATTTTCAAATGGTTTCACGTCCGGGTTGAACTTGACCTCGTACAGCCCATCCTCGACTTCATAAGCCTTGAGAAATACTCGACTCTGGCCCTTCCTCGTGACCAGGCAGACTCCCCTCTGACTGCTATCCGCGTCAAATGACACCCTAAATCCAGCCTTTCTGAGCTTGCTCACCGCAATTAGGTAACACATTAGGGATGGAACATGTATTACGTTAGAGAATTTGACTTTCAGCACCTGTCGGCCGAACTTAACTTCGCTATGAACGTTTCCTGTCCCAGTGGTTTCTGCCCAGTTTCCATTCCCGACAGCTACTGTGTCGGTATTTTGTTTGACTTTGTCGAAGAGGCGGGCTTGTTTGCACATATGTGAGGTTGCCCCCGAGTGCACGAACCACTTGTCCTTAAGGTTGTCAGTTTTAGTGTTTAGTGACACCTCGGAGCTCGACTCCAAGTTCTTCGCCACGAAGGTAACGTACCCTGTGCCTGCATTCTGGTTCTCGCCGGACGACGACGCACCCCGGTCTCCAGCTTCAGGTTGATTATTTCCTCTCCAATTATTCTCTGACCTTCGGTTTCCCGAGTTTCCATTCTGTCCTTTGTAGTTAGGACTATTGGGATTTTTGTAGCACTCATGCTTAAAATGCCCCTTCTTATTACACTGATGGCATCGGAGATTCCGTTTCGACGTCGTACTGCGAGTAGTAGTCAGTGCGGTGGTAGGTATTTCGCTTTTGCCATCATCACCATCTCCTTCCATTAATATCTGCCGAAGCATCAGCTTCGGTATTGCCTCCCTACGGGACGTTCCCGTGACCAGAATCACTTCCTTGGTGACCTGATAGTCAAGAGAGAGTCCCCGTAGAAGGGCACGAAGCTTTTCCTTCTCGGAAACCTGGTGGCCAACCGATAGTAGCCTACTCTCAGCTTCAGATAGCCTGCTGACGTAGTCCATCAGCTTCTCCCCCGGCTTCAGATGAAGTGATTGGTACTTGGATAAGTACACGTCAATCGATGCGTCAGAAACTGTCTTGAACATCTCTTGAAGGGTTTTCCATACTTCAACCGGGTCATCCAGTTCCCAAACGGTGGGCTGGATTGAATCTCCAACGGCGAGCACTAAACAAGACAGCGCTTTCTCGCGCCTCAAGTCGTACTTGATGGCGTCCGTTGTGGTTTGTGCGTTCCCCTTGCCACACACGATTTGCCAGAGGCCTCTACCGCGTAACACGAACTCCAAATTCTTCAACCATCCAAAGTAGTTCGTCGCGTTTAGCTTCTCGATCTTGACCCTTGGAGTGCCTGCATCATCGTTCTCCATGGCGATAGCAGCGCTTTTGGGTTGGCCTTCGTAGTGCCGGGCCCTATAACCTGTTGCGCGCAGATTATGGTTGAGGCCGACTCCCGTTTACTCCTTGCGTATTGGGTACCTGGACTCTCGTATTAGGTCCAGACCAGCTGCATAAGTACAGCCTCTGGAAGCTACTCTTCCAGGCAGGTGAAATGCATTCCCTATCATTTGTCTATCCTAAATACATTGCCACATTACTATGTGCATTTGGACAGGACCGATGATGGGCATGCACACTGGCATTGTACATTGATTCAGACCTTGCTGACCCCCAGTGATACTGTGTACACTAAACCAGTCTCACTGACCAGGAAGTTGGGGTCGCACTTCAACACAGACAGTATGCGTCATGACGCATTTGTTACACAAATGGCAATGCAAGTGGACGGGTAGCCAGGTTTTCACTGACACACAGTAGCTAGGTCTAGCTAGATGGCACTTTTTTCGTTCCCATGCAAGTTTTTATATATTTTATTTGCCAGATTTCAGTTTCCTATTAATTAGAAACAGATCCACCGCTTTCGACAGCCAGTTCAACGCAAAATCTGTCTCCTCATAGCATACGGTTCGATAGTAACTGTCGGGTAGATCTATGCGTCATCCAGCCGCACTCCTGTCGAATCGTGTCCACCAGAAGCGAGACAGGCGAGGACATCAGGGTGGAGGAGATGCGTTTCGGGCGACCGATGTGAGTTTCTTCGCCCACGCTAATGTGAGAACTGGTACGCTCCTTTTGATCGACTTTTCTGACCCTGCATTGAACCCTCTCTTCCGCGCTCGTGGGAGCGCAGGGAAATTCGCCAGATTCAAAGGCGAGTGCTCCCCTTGCCTATCCCTTCTTCTTTCCTTGCTTCGACAAACTCCATTTTGTTGTTGGCCTTTTCCATACCAACGCTGATACGTTTGCCGTTTGCCGCTCGATAAGCCGTTGACGCTCGTTGCGCCCATGAACGGTTGGTGCGAATCGGGCATGCACCTGCTATGTTTCATGTCATGAGGAGGTCCACAGGAGTGCACTTCACAGCTCTGAAGGCCAGCACCTTTGCTGTGCCGGTGATGTGTTGACGAACATCGGAGCCGCGGTCCGGTTGTGCGAACCTGTCCAAGACGCTTAGCGTCATTTTCGTCCGAGCTTACGTCGGACGCCATCTTTTCGATTGCTCCAGGGCAGTGGGCATGCACTTGCAAGTTATCTCTCTGAGACCCCTTGTGCCCAATTGATGACAACAGTTGCTTCCACTTATCTTGACTGCGCCCTCGCTCTATGTGCCGCCCATCTCTCACGGCTTCATGGCGGAGCAGTCTAGTGTCGCCGTTCATCTGCATTCTTCGGTCAGGCGCGTGGGGGCTGGTTTTCGTTCCACGTGCAGCATCTCTGCTTCTTGCTGCCGTTTGCAAAGTCTTCCTTGCGGAACTAGCTCCCTCTTCTATACAGCACTTTAACCTGTGCTCAGAGAGGGGGGAATGTAGTCTCTCCACCTGGCAATCACCTTGATTTGGATCATCTACTGTTGCTGCCGCCAGCGCAGATGGTTCTTTCTGCAAATGGATGCCGGGCAAGTAATGTCCCGGTTGACATGGAAGCTCTGCAACTTGGTGTGACAAGTCAGGGCTTCCAGCACGAGCCTGCAGTTTCGTCGAGGGGCATGCATCAGAAAACTGAGTTGAATTTTCCGTGGGGCTGGTAACAGGTTGCCGGCCGGGAAGCTGTACTGACCAGGACGGCATAGTCAGCGATTGCGGCCACACGGGGTACTGATGTTGAAATGTAGTCCCCGAGCTCTCTGAATGTCCAATGTGACCATGTGGGGGGAGTGATGATCCACAGAAGTCTGGGTAAGGCGAGTGTTGTGCCAGAGGATGTCGGGGGACGATGAGTTGGGGCTGGTGCCTTGAGGATACGAACGGCCCAGGTACTATGAAAGCCGGGTTCCCCCTCAAGCGGACAAACTGGAATGAGGCGTCCACGTCAAGCGCTAGCGAAAAGGAGACAATAGCCCTGGCAACCTGAAAGGGGTCTGAGGCGCCCAATTGCGCCATTCTTGGCCAGCTGCAAATCTCGGCCAGCAGGACCCACCCATCAGCACCGATTATGCTCAGGAGGTAGGGGTCTTGCGAGAGATTAAAGGGGCCAAAGTAGAATTCAATTTGTTCCACGACTGCAACTGTGTGTTGAATAGAAAACATGTTTGAAAGAAGCTGCCTGTGGTGGGTGGAAGGGATGATTATGTGAAGGTCGGTGAGGGTAACTTTTGTGAAGCAGAATGCGAAGAAGATGCAGGCTGGTCAGAAACCGGTGTCTAGAAAATGAGCTAGAGTAGAGCAGAGGTGGGAAAAAATGATGTTTGAAAGCCGAATTTGGGGTTCAGCAAGGATGCGGTTTCTCGAGTAAAGTTCTGAAGCAGTATTTCGGAGTGAAGAAAAGTAGCACAACAGATGGCCTTGGCTCGAGTCAAAATATGATGCGAATGAGTAGCAGTAGATGCCTATGCCCCGTAATGCAAACCAAAAGCAAGAAACCGAGTGGTTGGGAATTGCTGTAGTAGTGCTCGAGAGGTGCTTGGTACAGTTATGTGGTGTAGATGAAACAGGCTGAGGGAGAAAGGCGTGAAACGGGTTCAAATGTGAAGTCGAGGGCTTGGGCTTTGTTTGCTGTGAGAGTCTGTGGGGAAGCTCTGGAACGAACGGGAGGTCATTAAATGATTGTGCGGAGGAACATGGACTTTGGTTTCGGAGGGAACGTGATGAAGTGGCAATCGAGAGTGGGTATGGAAAGATGAGGAATGTGACCTTAATCTGAATCGTGATGACTTCTGTCCGCCATCATTGATCGCCTAGGATAAGACGAGGCATAGAAGCGTACGAAGCGCAAGCGACGGAAATTACGGGTTGATAGTTGATACGGGAAGGAAAAAGCACTGTGTCGAGAATGAGACGGCAACCGGTTTGGGAGTGCTCATGGAAGCCGAAGGGGCGGAAGAAATGATAAGTGTGGCAAACGCACCCTTCTGCTTTCGCCATCATGTGTGATGGCGAAAGCAAAAGGATGCAAACGAACGCAGCACTACCAATCATGGTGACGATATGACATGGTGGTAAAGTTGCTGATGAAGTGGAAGGGTTGAAGGTTGACAAGCGCTGAAAGATAGAGAGGAGTCAACATACAAAGAGAGGCATGCAACCCAATATTTTCTATAGAGATGGGCCCTTCTCCTCTTCTCGCAGTTTTGGAGAAATTTCTTATCTAAGCTGAATCGGATACATCGCGACCCCACCTCCTAGTGTAGAGTGCTGTCTCGTCATGCACATATGAGAGAGCGGAAACTGTTTCCATGCTGTTAGGGCGTTTCTCGTCCCTCTTCTCATATCTCTCTGTGTTAGTCTTCCCCTCTTGAATTCTCATCTCGCCTTCCACAGCTCTCGTGAAAGTCTTTACTGACAGTGCAATGGTCGGCGCTCCCCAGCCATTCAAAAAAGACGGTAGCCCCGGTTCAAGTGACTGCAATTTCAATTGTTCATGTGCAATTCGGCTTAAGAGGGCGATGCATATGACCTGATTGCAATGTCGGGTGTTAAACAGTAGTTCTACCAACTGCACCAAGATTTGCAAGCAATCTCCCCGCTGAACTAAACTCTACCCAACTGTCGATTCCTGCGGCTGCAAGCACTGCGTTGGAAAACGGATCTGTCGCGGAAGGCGAGACTCACTAACCAAATGAGCACGGCTTCGTCAAGGCCACAGAACAAGCTGTTCAAGATCTCTATAAAGTAAAGCAAGGAATGAGTGCCTTTCATACTTCATTTGTAAGTATAACAATCCTAATCTTTAAGCGAACGAGCTCTCGAAGCACATGCACAGCTTTCATTAGAAACGAAAACTAGAAAAGAAGGCAGCATGGCTACACTACGATCATCGACCTGTTCACAATACCCCAGTAGTCCTGTCGTCCACCATACAAAAGTGTCGCAAGATGCCAAACACGTGCAAGATGTCTTATCACTGTGCAAAATCGCGAGCTTGACCTATGATGTGCGGAGCAGGTAACAGGTCTGGGCCTGACGAAACGCAGTTCAACCCAGGTAGGCTTGTTCATTTCTGTTCGCACAGAGCCCGTTGAGACGACATGCAAGGCACGCAGACGCCCACAGTTGCCAAGTCAAGTAGGGGGAAAGATCCCGTGTCATTGGAGCAAAACGCATCCCCTCCACCCCGGTGTGTCCCTGCCGCAAAAGCGTTGTGCCTACACCAAAGGCACAACGCCAACACAAATGGAACGCCGCAGTGCTTGAAGATTCATCAACTAAATGCCTTCTATATATTCAAAGAAGGTTTGGACAGGACGAAAGAGATGCAGTTGTGCGAACGTCGCAATAAGTTGCTTTATGGACGCATCTTGGCGTCATTCAGTACCTTGCCTGAACATGACCATTATCAGGTCGAGGGTTGAAAATCTCTTCAGAGCCGACAGGACTCAAAAACTGTTACTAGAAAAGTTGGGAGAATGCGGTGTATGCCGACTTGAGAAACTGATTTACCGCCTCGAGCTGTAGAGAAGAACTAGGACTAAGCCTCTACAGGCAACTTAGTAACATGTTCTATATCTTTCATTCACTCTGCTCTGTATTAACTTGTTCTACCATGCCTTTTTTCAGATTATGGATGGAAATCGCGAAACATAAATAGAGTCAACTACTCCGCTATTGTGCCTCGTGGGTTTACCAAAAGATCATTATATGAACCGACGTTTCAGTCCACGGTTGGCACCTGTGTCCTATCAACGCCCTCTGGTACGTATAATGTAAGTGTTTCTCCCTCGATACCCGGAAAACGGCAGAGGCTCGTTCAGTACCTCTGCAAGACAAATAGTCCACACTAAAAAGAAATAGTCGTATCACGTAAGAAGGATGTTAAGCTGGCTTCCTCGCCGTCACGGCTCCGAAGCTAAGTACAGCGGGATGTCTCCACGAAATTGAGCGACTGTTGCATGGTCCGCTCCTGTAACAGAGTCTGGTCTCAGTGAGTATGCAAGGCAAAATATGAGAACGACACAGAAGAGAGAGAAGAGAGAGAGGGAGGTGGGAATAGAATCGCCTCGTGGTTTAGAATGAGAAACGCCCAATACTGTACCTGTAACGCTACTCTACTTATATTTGTGATCTGCATGCCGAGACACAAAACAGAGAAGTGGGAACGGACTGCATTTAATTCAGAATAGTGACGCAAGTCTTTCCCACTGGCGTCTCCTTCGCTGTCTTTTCCCAGCACCCTCCAGATCTTAAACTTTAAGGAATTCTTCATGCTTCACTACTCTTCAGACTCAACCGGAAGCCCCCCTCCGTCGCCATTCAGTTGTCATCGCAATCGGGCAAAGGGCCTCTCTCGCCGTCTTACGCGAAATCCCAGATTTCGTCACAACTTTGAGGGCGGCTTCCGGCCCGCTCCATCACCGTATTCAGCACTGCTTCCTCTCAAACATTAATCCGACATGATCGCTTCGTCTACCATCATTCGTCCGTGTTCGCCCCGACCAACTGCACTTGAACACCTCTCATCGCTGATATGCAATTGACAAGCAATCCAGTCTCCCTCAATACAATCTGCCCTTACGCGTCTCTCCTCAACAGATGTATTCCTGCCGCTCCTTCATCATCTTGCAGCCATTTCCTGCCCAAACCTCTGCATTCTCTCCCCAACTCACATAAATACCACCCCTTCCCTTTGTTTCCCTCTTGTCTTCCTCTGCCGCACCCACACAAACACAAATCTCTTGACTTGCTCTGCCTCATCTCATCCGCACTTCCGAATTCCACACGTTCCTATAACTTCTCCAACCCTCTCTCAACGTTTCTCCTTGCATACATTTCGTGCAAAACTCTCAACTTTGCTTTGAATCAAACAAGACAAAGTATCTTTGCTGAAAACCTACCCGCAGCCTTCGCCTCACTACCTACAACAACCTTCCACATCAGTCTTGCAGTCGATCCAAGAACCTTTCTTTCCGTCCCACCTCTACAAACGGACATCTTTATCATTTCAACATGTCTTTTTACACACACACGATCGCTATCCTTATGCAGGTCGAGTTCTATTTCAGCCCCTTCAATCTCCCTCAGGATCGCCACCTGCAGGACATTATGGGTGCCGATGGCTGGGTGCTCCTCGCTGAGGTATGCAGTTGGCCGAGGATGGCCCTCTTAGGAGTCTCAGATCCGCTCGACGTTGCCAGAGCACTTGTTGCTTTCTCTCACGCACTTGAGGTGGACACATCTCACAAGTTCATCCGTCTCAGGTCGCAACCAGTTTATGTCTTACCCGATTCACTCCAGTCTCCATGCCCGCCGCACGCCTTCCACGCAATGCACCCATGCTCGCAGCCAGTGTCATGCATACCCGACTTCCAAGCCAATTCGGCGCAGCAGCAGGGTTATCCTCACAACATTGGGGTCCCGTTTCCACCGCAGTATGCCTCTTCTACTGAGCAATTCAACGTTTCAGCCAATGTCAGGCAACCGCACTTTCTGCCGCCTGGTTCTTTTCCCATGGAGGCGTCACAGGATCGAGTCAACACCTTCATGCCGCACATCTCAATGCATCCTGAGAATTCGACTATAACGGGGAACAATGGGCATCTATCCTGCCAGCACCAGGAAGAGTTGGACAGAGCTTCACCGCAGGCAATGCAGCCCACACGGCAGCCATTGTCAAACATTATGTCGTTCTCAAGTGAATCCATTACGGAAGGCGAGACAAGTCCCCGCCGTCACGGACATGGCTGCCCATATGTCGCAGAATGTTCGCTCGAGAAGCTGGGAGTGGAAGAAGGTAACACAGATCCTTCAGCTGTGACATTGCAAGCCAGTCATTACCTGAACGAGCCCGTCAAACGCATGCATGAGGCCCTCACGATAGCGACCCCGCAAATGGAGGCACCGCGGAAACCGCAATCTAGACCTGTTCCCGAAAGGCCCCAGCAGATGATTCACCCCAACGAAAACCTGTGCTCAAAGCCGACGGCCACAAGGGTGCCTCATCGCCGTGTGGAGCAGCGATCTTTCGCTGACCAAGACCCCAGCCTGCGAATGCCTCCTACACTGGGGCATCATAGCTCGATTCGGTTGGATCACTTCACAGCTCATCGAATAGAGACGCACGGACGACAATCGGGGATCGAAGTTCATCGCAGCTC